TCGGAGAAGATAACTTTAGTTTAAAATAAAAAATTGGTAATCGGCGAAATAGTTATTTTAAACATCTGTATCCGCCCTGATAACCTCAACCTCCTCCCCGGGCCGTACCTCTCACAGTGTTGTCCGGTGGTGAAGTCCCTGCAGCCCTGACACGCTCCGGTGTGCGGGTGGCAGAACTCGCTGTGTCCGTTGCACTGACACGGCCTGCACTGAGGGTAACCCCAGAAACCCGGCAGGCAGTGGGAGCACTGACGCCCCGTGGCCCCCGGGGCGCACTGACACTGACCGGTCGCCTCGTGACAGAAGGCGCTGACGGAGGCCGCGAGGTCGCACCCACAGGCTGGGGAAGAGAAAAAAAAAAATCATTACCCCTTCTTGATGAATCATTAACCCTTCTTGATGAATCATTACCCCTTCTTGATGAATCATTACCCCTTCTTGATGAATCATTACCCCTTCTTGATGAATCATTACCCCTTCTTGTTGAATCATTACCCCTTCTTGATGAATCATTACCCCTTCTTGTTGAATCATTACCCCTTCTTGATGAATCATTACCCCTTCTTGATGTATCATTACCCCTTCTTGTTGAATCATTACCCCTTCTTGATGTATCATTAACCCTTCTTGTTGAATCATTACCCCTTCTTGATGAATCATTACCCCTTCTTGTTGAATCATTACCCCTTCTTGTTGCAGGATTCATGAGGTATCAAAGGAACAACACTCACGTCTGCAGCCGGCGGGGCTGAACAGGAACGTAGCCGGAGCGCAGTGGTCACAGTTCCTGCCCACGACGTTCGGTCGACACTGGCACTGACCTCCGCTGGGGTCGCACACGGCGCTGAGGGAGCCCTGAGGGTCACACTGGCATGCTGAAAGACAAGGCAACAGAACATTGAGAGGAGGATTTCTTTGGTCTAAAAAGTCCTTTAAAGAGTATAAAGACGAGAGTTTATGCTGCACAATTCAGGATTCACTTCTTTGATTCAGAAATCAGGAAGAGAGAGAGAGTGGGGAACGCCATGCGGGAAAGAAGCCACGGGTCGGATTAGAACCCGGGTCGTCTGCTTGGAGGACTACATCCTCTGACCAAAAAACACTAAGCAGACACACGTATTAAAAACGTACCCATGGCTCCTTTGTGCAGCAGAGCGGAGACGCTGAAGATGTAGTCGTTGCAGATTTCGGTCATGGGGCCTTTGACGACGCTCTGGCTGCTCTCCAGACAGCGGTAACGCTGGAACGTGTCCCACGCTCCCTCGCCGTCGCTCCCGTGGAACATGTCCATCTCCCTGACCCGAGGAATCAGCACCAGCTATGAAAAGAGAGGGAGGAGGAGGAGGCGAGTGATGGAAACCGTAACACAAACACGGGTTTGTAGGGATGGAGGAGCAGAGTGGAGGGAGATTTTTGAGAAATATGAATGAACGAACGTAGTGAGTGAAATGTAACGTACAGAGTCGATGAGTGTGTACGGGCTCTGAACGTCGCTGACAGACGAGTAGCGAGGCAGAGTGAGACTGATCGTGTAGTTCAGTCCTTTCTCGAAACACACCGACCTCACTAGCAGCACATGTCTGAAACCCAAAAAAAGGAAAAAAGTCGGTGAGGTTCTTCTTTTCAAAATAAACCCAGAGAGACTCAGAAACGTAAACTGATGTTTTTTTTTCACCTGGATCCAGGCGGCAGAGAGATGAGCTGCTCGTCTTCGCTCTGGATGGAGTTGCTGCAGTGACCTGAATAGTTTGGAGGGTTGAAGACGGGACGGTGAACTCGGATGTTCACCTGCTCCCACTGCTGCGGCAGCTGGCAAACACAAACACACACACACACACACGTGTTATTAAGGAAATCTAATTTGCATTAAGTATATGAAAAATAATATATTTTTTGTATTTTTTACATACAAAACTACAGGGGGCGCTAAGTACTCAAACTGGCATTTAAAGGGTTAAAATCCTGAAAATGAATAATTTTTTTATATCAATCAAGAGAGCTGGAGTTGGTTAAAAAAATGAAGTCAATCAAAGTGGGAAAAAACATTACTGTATAATATTTTTATTGCCATTTATGAACACATGTTTTTCCAACGTTACTTTTAAAATAGATAGTCTGAAGGTTAAATTAGACATTATTCTATTTAATTAAATAGAGAAAGTTCAAAGTTCTGCAGCAGAAAGACAAAGTTAACCTCTGTGTCCTCGTTGGGATCTTTATATTCAAATCAGCATGTGTCACCTGAGGCTCATAGCGAACGAGGATGTCATAGTCCATGGACTCTGGGATGTTGTTGATGTGGAACTCTAAGTAAGCTCCTTCTGGCACGTTGACAAAACCCATACCGGTCCAGGTGGGACTGCGATCCAGAGGGTAAGGCCTGGGTACCACCGTCACACCCTGAAAGAGAGCGGTGGTCACAGCTCTAGTTTTCATGATGATGAGAGCATCACTTGATTTTTATATTTTTTTGTTAAACACACTCACAGGTCCGTGCTCGGCGTCCTCGGCCTCGTAGGTGTAGTGATCCAGAGCGATGAAGTAAAAGCCGGACTCGACCTGACTGCAGCGCCGACCAAACATGTGCTCCCTGCACACACACTGTCCTGTGTGAGGGTCACAGCTGTGGAGATAAGATGGAGATATTTGTACCTCAGAATTTGTATTTGATTGTGTTGCTTGTTGTTTGTGCACAAATGTAACTGAGCGTTCAAAACGTACTTATTGTCGACGGCTCCTCCCTGGTCGCAGTCACACGGTCTGCAGCCGTCCATGTCGTTGGAGAGACCCCAGTGCTGAGGCTACAGGTAAGAAGAAAGGAGCATCTGTTAATGCACACAATAACAGTTTTAAAATCTTCAATTTGAGGCGAAGAGTTTCTGTCCTCACAGTGCACTGATCGCAGTTATGTCCGTCAACGAGACGTTTGCAGAAGCAACTTCCCGTTTTGGAGTCACAGGAGTTTCCTCCCTGCAGAGTTCCCAGCGGGTTACAGGTACAAGCTGTGAAAAAAACCCCACACAATCACACAATAAGACAACAGCCTGGACTGAGTCAGTGTGTGTGACTGCAGCTCCTGCAATCTGTACTCTGATGTGAAAAACAATGGAATATGCTTTAAAAAAAAAAAAAAAACAGTCTGAGAGAAATGAATATCTGGTTGCAGACTTACGCAGGCAGCCGTGCGCCCCCTGTCCCAGCCCGTGGTACCCCTGTCTGCAGTGGTTGCAGCGCTCGCCCTCCACGTTGGCTTTGCACCGACACTGACCTGAGATCAGCCCGGCTGCAACGTCGGTCCTCGAGTCGCACAGACCGCCCTTCAGGGACCCGACGGGGTCGCAGTTACACACTGTGGAGACAGGAAGTTGTTCAGGTGATGGTGATGTACTCTTGGGGCCAGAATATAACGCTTTTCTAGTTTTCTGATTACTCAAAGCTCTTTTACACCGCAGGTCACACCTACACATTCACACACTGATGGTCGAGGCTGCTGTGTGAAGTCACCATCAGAAATAACTAATCTCATTTATACACATTCATACACAGCCAACGAAACAGCAGGAGCAACTTGGGGTTAAGTGTCTTGCCCAAGGACACATCGGACATTGCTGCAGTTGCTGGGGATCGAACCCTCGACCTACCACTAATCCACAGCGACTATTATATACACAACAAATTGTGGGGCTATGAAGTCAATAAATGATAAAAAACATTCATCTCTTTCAAACTCCTGGTAATCATTTTCGAGTCTTAAGACGTCTTTACCTGAATAAGAAAATATATTTAAAATGTTTTAAAATAAAAGCAGACACTGTAAGTTAATCTTGTTATAAAAGAGCAAAGATCTTTAAAAGTTTATGTGTAATTGTATAGATGATCTTGGAGTAGGAAGTGTTTTGGTTTTACAGCCGTCTTTCCACTTGTACCCACTACTTAACTACGATCACGCTGCAACAACAGCTTATTTCTGCTTTTTCACTTCAAAGACTAACAGCACAGTCAGAGAGTTCAGCTCCAGATGTCTCAGAGAGAGAATGTCCTGGAGGAGAACACCAACGTGCACGTCCAGTAATGACTGGAGCGAGGCCGTAAAGAGGAGTGACACACACACACACACACACACACCCACCCACCCACCCACACACTGGGGAGGTTACACGGTGGTGACTTACGCTCACAGACGCTGGGATCCCGCAGGTCTCTGTTCGGGTGCTGGTAGTAGAAGGGGGCGCACTGCTCGCACTGCCGGCCCACCGTGTTGTGTCGACAGTCGTCGCACACTCCTCCGCTCACGTTGCCGGTCGTCTTGTACATGGCCATGTCGAAGTGGCACGATGTGGAGTGATGGTTGCACTCGCACTCTGACAGAGGAGGAGACAAATCCACACGTTTAGAGGGGGAAAGTCTAAAGCTGGTAAAAAAATGCTTTTTTTCAACTGCTTTAAAGTCTTTATCTGTGATTTTTCACACTTAAATATATAAATCAGTATGTCCTCTGAAAATAACTCTGTGAGTCATGACTGTCTACAATGGGTGTAACACCCGAGTCCCACTGTCTGTGATGTTTTCAGAGTTTTCAGAGTCCTATCTTCACTTTGTTTACATCGCCAGGACGGCCGGCTGACTCCTCCCCTCGTGTATAAAAGTTGTTTAATTGAGGGACTAGAGAAAAGAAGAATAACATACTGTACTCACTGCTTAACTGTGTTTCTAGATCACGCTCATTTCAGGTAAATTTACATGCAGTGTGAAGATACCAGCATAATAAAGATCGCTAGCATTAGCATGCTAACACAACAATGCAGCGCGAGTTGTTTTGGTTTCATGCTGGTGCTCAAGGGCGACGTCTGCTGGATCAAAAAATCACATATAAAGCCTTTCAAATCTGGAAAGTGAACTACACGTTCTTAATTCCATGTCATAAGTGATCTAGTCCTGTACTTGTGTTTGCATCTTACTCTTGCAGGCATGAGTGTTTCGTCCCTCTGCAGGCCTCCAGGGTAAATCATGGTAGAAGTCCTGGCAGTGCTCGCAGTTTAGTCCCTCTGTGTTGTGATTACAAACACAACGGCCGTGCACCTGAATACGGCAAAAAACATATCAACACCAACTGAAGAATCAGACGCATACACTGACTGTGATTTATTATCACAATCCTACAATTCACTTAGCAGACGCTTTTTATCCAAAGCGACGTACATCAGAGAGTAAGAACAACACAAGCAAGGATCTAGAAAAAAGGGAACAATGTGAGTAAGAGCAAACGATCAGCTTTGAGTCTGATTGGACACACAGGTGCTGACAGGAAGTGACCAGAGGCAAAGCACAACATTGAGGGCAGTTCTTGAGAGCTCTAATCAGTATAGAAACCATCTTATAAGTCGTCGTTATCAAACAAAAACCATCGTCATTACCATCATCATCATCAATAATATGGAGACCATCATCATTAAGTTAGTAGGTATTCATGAAAGAGCTGGGTCTTTAGCTTTTTCTTAAAGGTGCAGAGGGCTCTGAACATAATGTGACTTTCTTCTAAGGCTTAAATAAAAGGTTTAATCTTGCATGTTTCCTATTTTCTGTTTCACTCTTTTGTCATTTGACTGTGTGTGTGTGTGTGTGTGTGTGTGTGTGTGTGTGTGTTTGATGTACCATGCCCTCGTCTCCTTCGGGGCTCCGTCGATCGGTGCGCACTCGGAGGCGTGGCCGTAGCAGAAGCAGTTGCCGCGGACGACCATGTCATAGAGGGAGTAGTAGTACTTCTCCGTCACCTCGTCTCGGGAGTCGAGCAGGTTGTCACCCAGCGTGTGGAGCTTGACGAACTTCACCCGCAGGTTGGTGATCTTCAGCATGTCTGCACATATGAGCGATCAGAGCGTTACATCAAATATCACACACTTTAACTTTCTTTATCGAGGGAAGAGTGCGAGCTTAGCGTCTCAAAGGTAAACCTCTCTCTTCTGTAAAGCTAGAGAAGGAAAAGGAAAACTATCATCACTCATTTCACACTGATTTTACAGACCCTCAAAGATACCTCTGCTGTTCCTCACACACCTACAGCATTCACCACATACTCACCATGAGCCCTCTGCGTGTGTGTGAATGTGTCTCCGTCTGGATGTCGGTGAGCGAGCAAAGACGGAGTCACTTCTACGTGTGAAATTCCACAAAGCGCGCTCTCTCTGTGTGACCCCTGCTCTGCTCTAAAGTACCTGGACTACAGCGACTAAACAAATCCGCTAGAAATGATCTTCCACAGGGTTTTGAGTTATTCCTCTTTGTGTCTCCATTGACCTCACACTAAGGAGGCATGTTAATGATTAGAGTTTCATGACAAATATTTAAGGTAAATCTCAAAAGCCTCATGATTTAGTCTTATTTGAACTAACAGCAGAAATCTTCCTGCTATAAAACTAACTAAATCTTTTCTGTTTTTTATGTTAATTAAATCACTCATTTGTTCAGATAAATTATGCATGAGCATGAAAAGTGACTCTTTAACAATCTGTACACACCTGGAAACCTGTGATAAGGAGTCAGTTAGAGACCTGCTTTCTTTTAGGGGATTAACAAGCTAAAGGTGCAAACAACACAAAAATAATTCATTACATCATAATGTATAAGCGTCTTACTCTGTATCCTCAGACTGTAAGGGTCATCAATCCTGAAGGCGGGGTCCAACACCCGAAATATCAGCTGGTAAAGAAATAAAGGAACATTTATCAGTTTTAAGTTGAATGAGAAGTGACTTTTGTGTATTTGTTCTTTACATATTCATCAAAATCCTTTCTTGATTTGGATGAAATCAAAAAGTATTAAGCATTGGTCAAATAATAAAAATATAAAGAGCAGAAGGCAGTCTCACCTCTCCCTCTGTGGACGGCTCGATGTCGGAGTAATGCGAGTCGCAGAGGATCTCGTCCACTTTGACCATCGGCCCGGGGGACACGCCGGGGAAAGACGACTCGCAGTCGTAGGCGAAGTAACGATAAACCTGCCACGACTTCCCGAAGTCCATCGAGCGCTCGATTATCATGGCAGCCGGCCGAAACGTCTTGAGACAAAAAACAGAAACATTTTATTACCTGGTGTTAAGAAAAACATGGTGAAGTGTGACAGCCCCCTGTAAATCTTCTGGAGACACAATTTTCTGTAAAAGGTGGACAACTTAACACTTCCATGCAGCCTAATCGGAAATAATCATGTTGTGGTTGTGGAATTTTGTTATTTTTATTTTTTTTACGTTTTTATTTATTTACATATATTTTAATCATCCTGCTTTATTCCTGTATTTAATTTAACTTAATAATATTTTTTTGTTTGTCAGGTTTTTTTTTTTGGTTTTTTTTTTTTTTTTTCTGTTTGTCTTTTTTTTTGTCTTGCATTGATAGTGTTTCCCTTGTTGGGTATTGTTCTATATCATTTATTGTCTGGTTTTGTACTGTTGTAAAACATTTGAAAACAATAAAGATGTTGGTCAGAAAAAGAAAAAAAAAAGAAAAACATGGTAAAGTGTATTTTGCATAATGTGCGACCTTTAAAATATAGATTAAATATTTGTTTTAATTCATAATGATGTGGATACAACATATAATTTAACTTGGATTTAAAGTCATAACATGTCTGATTGGGTGAGGGCTGTTCGAGCTGTTGATCCTTCCTGCCTTCACGTTCTTCAACAGGATATAGCGTGTGTATTTCGACTATCTGAGTGTTTCAGGCACAACTCCAGCTGGCCACCATCACGGCCGACCATTTGCTGGAGATGACTTTTTTTTTTTACTACACAGCCGTTAACTCATCCTCCTCCTCTCCCTCCTTTCTCTTCCCACCGTCCCCCAGAGACCTCAATGATTTTCCACATTCCTCCACCACAGCTGTACGAGCGCTGTGTTTATGCGAGCTGTGGGTACGGGGACAGTTAATGTGATATATGTGTGTTTGTGTTGTGCAGAGGGAGAACAGGCACCTTGAAGGTCATGATAAGATGGGTGAAGTGAAACTCGGCCTCGAGGTCCAGCTGGATGGTGACGTTCTCCACACCTGGTGACGATGAAAAGACAGGAAATTAACATTTAGGGCCACATATTTTATAACATTTCCATTCATAAAAACTCACTATAAAAACTGTCAACGCCCCTGATACACTTTCTCACACACTGAAACTATCCTAAATATTTACATCTGCGCTCGTTCATGCAGCTAAAGCTTGATTTATTACCACATATGAATCTAAACAAGCTGCAGTTCTGGATGGTGTAGTACCAGCAATTTCTAAATTCTTCTAAGTCTCTGTGTAGTGTCGCCCAATTCTTTCTTTCTGCCATTAAAGCTAAAGAAAAGTCTAATGTAGTTAAATGACTGTTAGAAACTGTTAAAGCAAAAATAAATAATAATTTGAGGAGGAGAATCACTTTAGCATGTAGAGCTAAACTTAAAGGCTTTATATGCGATTTTTTGATCCAGCAGATGTCGCCCTTGAGCACCAGCATGAAACCAAAACAACTCGCGCTGCATTGTTGTGTTAGCATGCTAATGCTAGTGATCTTTATTATGCTGGTATCTTCACACTGCATGTAAATTTACCTGAAATGAGCGTGATCTTGAAACACAGTTAAGCAGTGAGTACAGTATGTTATTCTTCTTTTCTCTAGTCCCTCAATTAAACAACTTTTATACACGAGGGGAGGAGTCAGCCGGCCGTCCGGGCGATGTAAACAAAGTGAAGATAGGACTCTGAAAACTCTGAAAACATCACAGACAGTGGGACTCGGGTGTTACACCCATTGTAGACAGTCATGACTCACAGAGTTATTTTCCGAGGATATACTTGATTTCTACATTTAAGTGTGAAAAATCACATATAAAGACTTTAAAGCAAAGTTAGCATCCTAAGAATAACAGTAACTCACTCACGTCCCACCTTCCTGTAGGTTAGCTGCGCTGTGGGAGCTGCGGCTTCAACCTAACAATGTTTTACAATTTAGGATTTAAGATTTATTTTGTTCTCCATGAATGCAAGTTGAAGTCTTCCCACTTTAAACTATTAATCAGGAAATGAACAGTGACACTATGACGAGGCCTGCTGATCTACATAAAAAAGTTATTGCACATTTTTTAATCTTTTTAGTTAGTGATGTAAATGTCCCTTGCTCTCTCTGGGTAACTTATCTCTATGTAGAAATGTCTGTGTGGTGCAACCCTTTGATTCCTGGATCTCTTCTTACAAAACATTTGTAAATAAATGATTTTTTTTTCAACTCAACAGCAGCTGAAGCAACTGGCTCTGACAAGCAAGATAGTGGAACAGGAGGACTTTCTGTGAGGGAATTAGGAAATCCCAAGCAAAGCCCATTGTATGTCTGCAGCTTCCTGCTGTATTAAAGCCATCTGCCCCGCTGGCTGCAGCTCCCTCTATGACTCATACCCTCATACCTCTGACAGATTCCCACCGCTGTCAGGGAACAGTGTGTGCATGTGCAGCGTGAATGTGGGAGCAGGGGATGTTAGCCTGGGAACTGAGCTAATGGGATTTCTTTAGGGGCTCAAATTCATAACGATGTGATGATGGTTCCAGTTCTTTCACGTGGTGTCACTGAAATAAGGAAAACAAATGACCAAGGTTTCCTCATTATTGTTTTCATTTGTATGACTTTTTTTTTAATTCACTTTTGGGGCTTTTATTCCTTATAAGATAAGTGAGTCTGCACACACACACACACACACACACACACACCACCTCTTTAATAAGACATTTTCCAGTGACTTCCACATGGAAAGAATTTCTTGTTTTATAGCTTTAATGCAGAGTTTTATCTTTCCACACCTGGCCTCAAGGTGGATTTAAGTGCGAGAGTAAAAACTGAGTCTCGTTCTCGCCGTGGAGTCTCTGAACCGCCGCTTTCTCATTACACACTTCCCTCTTCTCCCACTTTAAAGGCCTGTGTGTGTCCAAGTGATGACACACATCTGTTTCTTTTTTTATCCTCACACCTGTTCTCCAAAGCACACCTGTAAGCCCCGCCCCCCACCCCCTCCTCCGCCTGCTGTGATTGGCTGCAGTGAGAGGCTCTGTGATCTCCTGGTCTAGTCATTACTGAGCTGTGTTCCCATGAGAACAGAGTCGGCGAGAGCTCACACGCTACGCTGCTCTTTTATTTCAAAACCAGGAGTGAACAGGAAGTCTCTCTCTCTGTTTCTCACCGTTCTCCGACTGCCACCAGGTCTTGAGGCGGTTGTGAGCGAAGGTGGTGACCACGTTCTCGATGGTGTGGCTGTCCTGATTGCTGTCCTCGTCGAACATCCTGCTCGAGTCGCACGTGAAACATTTCTTCTCCTCCTGATGGACAGAGAGAGAGAGAGAGAGAGAGAGAGAGCAGAGTGTTAAAGGATCAGTTCACACAAATTACAGAAAAGTGAACCATGCTAACCATGATTTGGTATTTTATTCACCAATGTTCAAGAAAAACAATCTTTCCTTGAGTTTTCTGTCATCATATATGAAAGTCTTCTTTGCTTTTTGTACAGATTTTTTCTCCCCAAAGTTGATATCAGTATTAGACCTAAAAAAAATCACATATCTGTCGGGCCCTAGCAATCTTTGTTTGCAGTGGCGGTTCTACACCAGTTTTACTGAGGGGGCCAGTTGTTTTGTCAGAGAGGAACATTAAACCCAGGTGACAAATTGACAAAGATGATCTAGCTTAAAAAACAAAATGTTTATTGTACCGAAAACCAAATGATTCTTGTTGCTTCAGAGGTGGCAGAGAGCGTCATTAGTGGATGTTTAGAGTCAGCGTCAGTGTTACATGGGCACTGGCCCCTGTTGGCCCCTGCCTAGAACCGCCCATGTTTGTTTGACCTTACTAAAATGGCAGAATGGGAGAAAAAATCTGCTCTTAAGTTTTTTGTAAAAAGCCTAAAAGTAGGATCATGGGAGCTGTTAAAGAAACTACAAATTGAAAGTTTGTAATATGGAGAAAATGTGGATTAAACGATGTGTATATTAAGTTTCTGATGTGTCTGTTCAATAATGTTTTCACTTCATTAATCAGCAGCAGACGCCTCGCCTGCTCGCCAGATGTTTGGCATGAAGGCAAACAAAACTCAGGCTCACACACTCACCAGTAAATCTCTCCAAATTTGCAGCGTGTGAATCAATAAGACGTGTTTCTCAATTTCATCCCCTGCCCACTGAGTCTGTGTTGAAATGAGTCTCACTAAGTGGCTCCACTTAAGGCTAACTTTCCTCCCCCTCATCCAGCCCCTCCTCACCCTCAGCTCATACTTGAGCGCTGTGCTCATCCTGAAGGGAAGCTCAGATAGGCACCACACTGTGTCCGTGATTTCAGTTTTTCAAGGACGGCATTCACAATCGAAAACTTGCCGAAGGGTTTTGAGATAGAGAGAGATTCTCCCTTTGCCTCGCCACCGGACATCACGCACACAGGGGGTGGGATTGTGAGGAACACACAAGGCTTTTATTGTGAAGAGAGGAATGTCTGAACTCCCACACAAGACGGCGAGCAGATACTGTACATGTGCATCTCACACACACACACAAAACACAATCTGAAGAGTTCTGATAAAAAAACTTAAACCTCTACTCAGCTGATTGGTTTGTTGAATGAAATCTTGATGATCAATCAATCATTTCATCAGGGTTTTAAAGCAAAAGTACCAAAAATGTGTTTCCTTCAATTCCTTTAATCTGATATTTAACAGACCATCTTTGAGTTTTCAGGGTTTTTTTTCCACAAACACGCTTATTAAAGTCATCACCTTAGAGCCTGTAAATATAAAAAGGCTGTTCTCCATTTCTGTGATATCATGAAAAACAAAATTCAGAAAACAAGCCTCAGACTAACAGATGATTGCAGTAGTTATAGCTGCTTTTAATAAAATATGGAACAGACAGAAGAGAGGAATTAAAAATACTTTCTTGTCTTCTTTTTTCATGCAAAGGCAAACATTTGTTGTATTTCATTTAAAACCCAATGTAACAGCGCATTAACCCACCCTCTTCTCGTGCAGCTATTCAAACGCTGTGGTCATAAAAATGATGCGTTCAAGGCCCACACAGCTCATAGTTTTGACGCAACTTTCATGGCTTTTTCTGAAGATCTGACCCAACTTTTGCTAACCAAGCTGCGTGATAAAATCACAGAAAAGACAACAAATCATTCCCTTTAACCCCATAATTTAATAAAAGCAAATGTTCTTTGGTTAAAAATAAACTTGCAGTAATTTAATCTGCTTTTTTGAAAGTTAGCATGTGTTGTTATCATTCCAGTCTGGCTGATATTTTAGTATCAGAACTAATCTAAAAACATTACTGATCGATGAGGAGACAAACAGATCAGCAAGACACACACTAAAGTATTTATCTTTTATATGTCAACAAAGGTCGCATTGTTAGCCTACTGTATACACATGTGCTTTATTATAAAGAGGATAAGTAAAGCATGCAAAGTCTGCTGTGGTGGAAAATACATTTCTCTGCATGCATTTATATTAGATTACATAATGCATTATAGGCTTTAAACCTCTGTCACACTGTAATGTTTCTGTTCAGGTTTATTATATCCACATGACATCTATTTCCGTTCTGTCAGTCCTGGGAAAGTGTTCTTCTCTCAGTCTACCTGAAGTGTCTGCGACTTTTGTCTCTCCTCTTATTTTAGTTATTGAGCCTTTAAAGTGTCTGATGGGGAAACTGTGATGATGAAACTTGAAAGGGACATTCGTCCTCTCTCTTGCAATGGCATGTGATGAATTCCCGACAGAATGTGTGAAGGAATGCATGTAACGCAGTAATAAGTGTACTCCATCGCTCTCTTTTCCTTCACTTATAATTCTCACTTTGTAAGTTTTGCTTTTATCCCTTCTTCCTAAACACTTCTTCCCTCCCTCTTTCCTTAATTTCCTTAAACATAAAGCAGGTTGTAACTTCTGCTGAAAAGTGCTACAGACGTTTAAAAAAATGCAGTCACAAAGCAAAAAGCAGAGAAAACACTGAAGAAACTTTGTAACACTCTGTAGTTTATATCAAACAGAAGAAGTACAAGATTATCCTTCCAAGGTCAAGGACATTTAGGAGCTCATTTATCTCATTTTGGCACTTTAAACAGTGTCATCTGCAGGAGCTCAAGATCACCAGAACAATTAATTCATGGTCTTTGTGGTTGATGTGTTTGCATGAGTTTTAAAAGCGGTTTGCATGCACTGAAAACTTTCATTTCTTAATGTTATGAACCAGAAAACATGCACAAAAAACTTTTGATTTCAAGATGCACAACAACACAAGTTAGGACCTGTGATTTATCAGAAGTCAAAAATATCATCTGCCTCAGCCACATCTTACTCTATCAGATTTATTTAAGTTTTTTTTCTAATTTTAAGACAGCTGCTTTTGCTTACCTCCAGATGTCCGACGATGCAGAATTTCTCGGGATGTTTGAGTCCGCAGGTGGAGGAGGCGGTGAGTTTGTGCGCGCGGCCGATCAGCAGGTCACCTGTGGCGGGATAACAGCTGCCCTCCGTGCACACATCTGTAAACTCCGGGAACTGAGCCCTGCAGCAGGGCCACCACAGGGCTGCAGGGAGGAAGACTACCGTCAGTGAGAAGAAGTCTGAGATTTGTATTTATTTATTTGGAAACCAGAAGTTTTGTTTTGCTGTTTATCCAGCAGCAGCCATTCTTTTTCTCCTAGTTAATTTCTGAGCAGAAGTGAATAACACTTCTCATATGGCTTTCATTACATGCTGCTGTTGCTGGAGATGAGTGAGTGCGAACATTGTGGCAGCTACAGAAGATAAAATCCTCCTCTGTTACGTTTATTTCTTTAAAAAAACATGAACTCACCCAGAAACGTGACAAAGTGGATTAAGAGCGACATATCCGAGTGTGGATCATTGACAGCTCTTCTGATGCGTGGTGTTGATGTATCCTGCAGCTGAGAGAGACAGTGTGAGTATGAAGAGTACAGTCACACAGACTGAGGGAGTTCACTTGGAAGAAGTGCGTCTGTATGGAGGGTGGACAGTGCCAGGCGAAGGATAGCAGCTGTATGGAGGGTGAAAAGTGCCGCAGATAACAACAAAAGAACAAAGTTAAAGAAATAAAGTGTGGAGAGTATCCGGACTATGATACACAGTTAACATATTACATCTCAAAAATCCCAGTGAGTGGCACGTTTGACTGTTAAAAGTCTTAAAACTCATTTATTTAGTCTGGCTTTATATAGTCCTTTATATCAATTCAAATCTTAACATTATTGTATTGTCTTTTTTATCCTACCAACATTTTAAATATTATTCTCCAATGTATTCATTTTTATATCTTATTGCTTTTATGTGTCGTATTTTATTTTTTATTTTTTTAATTCTTATTGGTGTGCATTCGTCTCTCAATTATTTTATAAACTACTTTTTTGTCACTAACTTCTCTGCGCTCTTGTAAAGCACTTTTAACTGCAATTTGGTTTGTCTGAAAGGTGCTATATAAATAAAGTTTGATTGATTGATTGAAAAGACAGTAGAACATTTATTTGTCAGAAAACACTACTTACAAATGTATAGGTCGAAATCAGCAATGCTCCATTTTGTCCACACGGGGAGCCAAAATCAACCAAACCGAAAGTTCTGGACTTAAAACTTGAGGTGAGATGTGAGAACATGTAGAGAAATAGAGCAGCTATTGATTAATAATGTTATCATCCTAAAATAGCAAAATTCACAAAATCTTTGCATGTGCTCTATTCACTCTAGTGCTCTCTTCACCACAGCGCATTCACGGTTATGAAGAGGAAATGTTCACTTAATCATATCTTCAGACAGTTTATGAAATATGAATCACCACGTCCTCTATTGCTGTCCTCCCCTTTGTTTGTTTTTAATGTTTTTAGTGCATAACCTGCCCTCTTCTATCATCACTACAGCGAGTCTGAGCTGTCTTTCTTAAAAGCGTTTGGCTCCCTCTAGTGGACATTATGGAGTATTGCGTTGTCTTTGCCCCAAAGGTTTTTTTTTCTCCAGAGTTTTGTTGTTCAGCCCAGTTTGCTTTCTTTCATCGCAGACATCAGAGGTGATTTAGTTACAAGACAGCTTTTGAAATAGTAGGAAACATTGATTATTTAAACTTGATATTTTAGTTTATGTATGAGAACATTTTGTGTGCAGCCTTTTTGGAGCATCTTCTAGAGGTGGAACAAGGACAGTCTCTAAATCATATAATCCCAGTCTTCATACTTCTTACTCTTTAGCAAGTCCTTTATTCAAGGACAAGTTGTAGTTGTGATGCTTTGATTCCATTGTTGTCTCCCTAAAAACTGATTATTACATTTATTTCATGTGGAAGGAAAAACACCGCATGAAAATTAGACAAATAAGAGAATAAAAATCTGAAGATTTATGAATGCGGCTGAAGGAAAGCAACGTATTTGATCCTAATAAGGTTTATTTCAGGGCTTTATCTGCCTTTACTGTAGAGACAGGACAGTGGATAGGGTTGGAAATCAGAGAGAGAGAGTGAGGAATGACATGCAGGTGTGGTGATTGGACATTTCTGTGTATTTTTCCTTGTTTGGTGCTTGTGTTTTTTTTCTTTCAGAGGCTGGGCGTGGCTTATTGGCTGCTGGGCTCTCTGCAATCACTCACCTGTTCATCTTCTGTAATCACCGGCTGCAGCATTTATACCCTGGGTCACCTCTCCCAAGCTGCCAGATTATTTCCGCCTACACCGTGGTAGATCAGCTTCTCAGTATCAGTAGACTTTTTTGTGTTTTGGATTACCTGTCGCTAATTATTCCCTTGTCTTCTTTTTCCCCCAGTGCCTCCAACCAACGAGCTCCAGCGCCTCACCACCCAGCCTCTCATTCAAGCCTCACCAGCCTTCACCAGCCTCACTTCAATAAATACCCCTTTACCCACCACCCTGTTTTCCGGTCTTGCTTTTGGGTCCTCTTAAAAACCTTCAAGATCATAACAGCAGGGAAGGAGCCACAGCTCGGATCTGAACCTGGGCCGCCACTAAGCCAATCCCATGCGTTTAAAAAAAAAAAAGTAATTTCATAATAAAGACTTTATTTAGCATAAAACGTATCGAAGACTTCACAAAAGACCTAAACAAATTCATGATTTTCTAATAAAATAGAAAAAGAGAATTGAAACATCAAATTTAGATGTTTATGTATTTAGAGATCTGCTTCCATGGACCATCTTTAAGCTCCTTCAAGACCGAGCTTGTGCTTCTTCATGCTCATGTCCTCCAGATTACAGAGAGTCATGGACATACAGTTAGCAGCGTTTAAAATCCTGTCTCTTTCTAATTAGAGGTTTGGGTGACGGCTCAGAACATTGAAAAACCCTCAGCATGTTCAAAAAGTCATTTTTTTTTTTTTTTTTTACTTCCTGCTGGAAATAACAAGAACAAAAAAATCCATTATATTCTAAAAGTCACTTGGCTGCACCCTGTAATTGAGGTGAGTGTAGGAGAGATGTGTGTGTCCGTTCATTTGTGTGCATGTGTGTGTGTGGGTGGCATGAGTCATTTTAAGTTTCAAACAGAGAAGAAGCATGACAGTGAAAAAAATAAAAAAAAGTACCTCTGAGATGTAACAGGAACAACATGTTTTCTTTCTCTTCTGGTGGTTTTTTTTGTTGTTGTTGTTTTCATCTTCGGCAGTCTGACGAGAACAGGAAGTCTTGATTTGATTTCCAACCAAATCACAGATAATATGCACAATTAAAGCTGCACAAAAAAAATAGTCTCCAGGATGTACAGTAGACACACTTTAACATATACTCTCCTCTAATCCCATTCACGTTTTACTCTGCTGAATTCCAGCCAATTATCACCAATTAAATCGATTCCAGCCGACTTTGATCACCTTCCTTCAAATTGTGCAGATTTCAGAGCGAGAAACACACACACAGAAACACACACAGAAACACACACAGAAACACACACAGAAACACACACAGAAACACACACACAGAAACACACACAGAAACACACACAGAAACACACACAGAAACACACACAGAAACACACACAGAAACACACACAGAAACACACACAGAAACACACACAGAAACACACACAGAAACACACACACAGAAACACACACAGAAACACACACAGAAACACACACAGAAACACACACACTCAACAGAGATAGAGAGAGAGAGAGAGAGAGAGAGAGAGGCTCTGCTCCCTCAACAGCAGGGGTGAACACTAACACTCTAACCCCCCCTCTCTCTCTATCTCTCCTTCCCCTCCTCTTTTCCTCCTTCGTTTCTTGGCGTCATTCTAATCCTTCCTCCATGCTGAGAGCAGAAAGACAGAGAGGGAGGAAAAGAAAAAGGAAATACAGGAAAGGAGAGTCACTCCTCCTTTCTCCTCATTTCTTCTTCTTCGTGCCTCTGACTCCTCGTTCTCCTTCTTTCCTCTCCTTCTCTCCTCTCCTCTCCCCCCCGTCTCTTCCTCTGAGGTTTTTAA